ATTCATATGGCCTCGCTCCTGTGTGTGTTTTATAGTGCAAAGTAAGACATGCCCTTTGTGCAAATTTTCTCCCACAGATGTTACAATTATGGTTTTCTACCTGCATGGGATTGCATGTGTCTTACATAATTTGGTCTATGACAAATAATTACCTCACACAAATGGCACCAATATATTTTCCTGTCATGACTGAATTGATCATTACACACACTGCACTCATAGTGTTTCTCACTGTTGTGAACCTAGTGATGCCTCCTGAGGTCTGACTTACGAAGGAATCTTCTCACAAAAATTGCATCTGTGATGTAGCTCTTCTGAGTGAATCTTCATGTGCCCCTTAAGGTTTTTCTCAATATGAAAACACTTGCCACACTGCTTACATGAGTAAGATTTCTTAATGGGACAGCTCTGCTTGACTTTGGACCCACAGGGTTCTTGCAGGTGGGAGCACTCAGGTGTCTCTCCTAGAGAGGAATTCTAAGAAAGGACAGCACTGTCCTATCACTGGGTGGCAGTTCTGTGGGGTGTCCAAATGGATTTTCAAGCTGCTCCCAGTTTCCAGGGAAACTGGGGCCAAGAAGCACATTCCTGTCTAAAGAAGCACAAACTGGATCAACACTGTGCAGGTTTTGCCCTTTGTACATTTTCTTCATTTCCCCTCCCAATAGCAAAGCCTAAGAGCAGAAAGAGAAACCGCAATGTCACCATCATCCAAGGAAAAAGGACACATCAGGGGTAAGAAGAGATATACCCATCAGCTGGTGGATGATAGAAACTCACAAGCGGCATCCCAACCCTCTTTACCCTGGGGTTACGGCTGAATGTTTCTTTTCTTTCTTCCCCAACACCTGGTGACCCCCCACCTACCTGCCCTGGTGCCAAGGAATCCTGCTGCTTTGACCATGGCTCCTGTCTGTTATTCTCTGGCAACCTCAGCTCAGGGTCTGGTCGGGGGCATGCTGGCCACTGTGGGGGTTCTGGTCACAGGAAGGACGAGAGGAAGGGGGTGGGAGTCGCCACAGGTCTCTCCAGGGTCAAGGTTGCACCTGGGACACATGTCCTCTCAGTGCCTACCTCTTTCCTTCTTGGGTGCCTCAGAGCAGCCCCTGACAAGCGTTTGGGCTTGGTTGAGTTCTTAGGGCACAGACAAAAGCAACATGAAGGGAGGGACGGGCTTTTGTGCTGAGTTCAAGACTGTGATGCTCCGCCAGTCTGTGACTAGGGACTGAAGCATTCCGGGGTGTCACTGCGTTCTACGTCTGTTTCAAGAATGGAATGATTGAAGCTGAGAGCCAGAACACAAAGCCAATCTCTCCCAAGTGTTGGCCTATTCAAACAGGAAAGCTCTCAGTGAGTCCCAGCAGTGCACAGAGAGGTGAAGAGGGGCCCAATGGAACTGGAATAATTTCAGGAAGACATATTCGCATTTAAAACCAAAAATTGTTCAGCCATCATTTTGTTTCTGCTTAGGTGTCATAGCTCAGCTTGGAATGAGAGCACTCTGAAGGCCACAGATCTCATCAGCTGTGGCTTAGCACCTGCCCCTTGGGTGGGAGGCAGCCAAGAGGGGAGGACTGGAGGCGCCGAAACAGCCCCAGAGGCCCGACATCGCACCCTGAGAGTGAAACCCGGGGTCAGCACTGGCCGCTGGACCGTGGGGACTGGCCAAAGTCCGGCTGCTCCTTTCTGTGCAGTGCCAGGAGCCAGCACCAGAGTCTCTCCTGGACCAGCTCAGCCAGCACCCTGGGAGAGCCCAGTCCTGAGCTCTCACCCGCATGTGAGCCGCATGACCTTCTTAGATGTGAACCCTCCCGCAGGCTGCCAGCTTCTGTGGTTGTGGGGAGACTAGGGCCCTTGTGCCTCAGGTGCTCTTAGCCTCCACCGCACAGACTTTCAAAAGCCCTGCTCCTGCCCTGCCAGTGGTTTGCAGTCCCAACCTGTTTAGCAGCCCGTGTCAGCTGAAGCATGGAAAGACTATGCAGACAGACCTGTATTTCGAAATGGCAGCAAAATTCTGCTGACCGTGGCAGGCTGACACACAAAATACAGACTCAAGAGAGCATGCACAGATCAGGAGATGCAGGTGAGGCCAACAGTGGATATGGACAGGACTATTTTGTATGACATGGGTGTGACCATATACATCCTGCATTCCCGTGGCCTTCTCCTGTTATCACCTCCGTGATAAAGAACAGAGCCCATATCTGCACAGACCCAGCAATGCCAGAGGAAGCCACAAAATATGGTGCCCACGTTTAGTAAATGCAGAAAGGGAGACACTCGTCACCAGCAATCGCACTGGAAATGTCTGAGGGGGTCTCCGGGGACAGTGGGCCTGACGGCTAAGCTACGCTCCTGCTGTGAGGACAGCAAGGGACCAATGCATCCTCTCCAAGGACAGGGTGGAATCTCACATGTGCTTGTGCCCACGGCTGGCCAGACTCCTGGAGGAGGCATGCCTCCTGGGATTGGACACCTGCCGAAAAGAAAAGCCACAGGTAAGCCGAGAGTAAGCGTGGCTACTTGCTTTAGGAGCAAATGGGTCAAAGGGTCTTGGATAGGTGTTCTGATGTGGCCGCAGAGGACACTGCAGAACAAGGAACCTGGCAAGGAACCTGGAAGGAAAAGGTCAGGAATTCACCTCAGAGCCCTTTTCTCATCTGGTGACTGCAGAGGCCCCTGTGTTCTCACCTGTGTGCAATCACAGTTGACCTTGGCCACGCTGAGGCTTCCATTACCTTCTATTCTACAACTCTTGCCCTTCCCGTGCCATCACCACCTCATGACCCTGCTGGACCACCATATAAGCGCTTTCCTAGAAGAGAGCAACCTCCTCCCAGTATGTCCATGTTTCCTGTCTCTGGCCTTCCTGAGCAGAACGGTCATGTGAAAGCAAACCCGCTGCCCAGCTTCCCCTACGTAGGAGCATGCAGGTGTCCCCCATTGCCCTGATCATGAAGCATAACTTCCCAGCACAGCTGATTAAAGCTCTTCCCAAGCAGGACTCCCATCTCTGTCCAGCCTCCTGGATGGCCCCTCTGTCCCCACCCCCATAGCAGGAGCTCTGCAAAGTGCCAGGTTCTCCCTCACTCTGCACCTGTCACCTCTGGCCATGCTTCCCACACCCCTCTCAACTCCCACTCCCCACCTCAGTAGGCTCACTGTAGTTCATCCTAGAGGACTCAAGCCACAGACCCCTTACTCAGCTCACCTGCCTTCCCTGCCAAAAACTGGCATGAGGGCCCTCCTGGGAGACCCCACGTCATCCTGCCTGCTCACACGTCCTTGTTCAGTCCGGTCTACATCACATGAGGTACCTCCTTACAGATTTGTGTGGGCTGCCGCATTTGCAGTCTGGTATCAGAGTATTGCTTGGTAGAGAATAAAATCCCATGGTTTTAAAAAAATATATATTTATGCATACAGAACTGGGGGACAGGCCAGAGGTGCAGGGGCAGTGACAGGATTCACCAGAGGCAGTGACAGGATTCACCAGAGGCAGAGTGGGGAGCAGAACAGGCAGATTGACAATGTACACTGCTGAAGGGAGCAGTGGGTAAGATATGAGAGGTTTGCTGCGCCATGTGGGTCCCTCTTTCGCCTGGGATCAAACTCATGCTGCAGTGGCTGCAGCTAGCTTTATAGTGCTGCACTTTAACGCGCTACCCTACCAAGGAGGGCCCACAAATCCCGTTTGATGACCAGAAGTGACATGTTCCATGTGGATAAGCAAAGGAGAAACCCAAGGGAGGGTGGGTTTTTCCTATACACCAAGGAATAATCCAAAAAAGCATTTTGGGTTTGTTTTGAGATTAAGACTCTAGAAGCAGTAAATAAAATACTATAAGCCAAAGTCAGTGTGGAGTACATTTGAGGGGACTGAAGGGAAAAAAATGGGCTGTGATGCTGAAGTTAGCATTTGGACAGGTCAGGAGATCCTGAAGTCAAAGTAGGGAGTAGGAATTAATGATGTGGGAAGTGGGAAGCTCTTGAGACTTTCAATGCCTTGGTGCCTGTGGTGTTTGAGGAAAATTATTAAGTATTGGTGGAGATATTTTGAGTCTCCCTCTCCAGGAATATGGCATTGTCAAGCTTTCCGTAAGTCCTCACAAGACTCCTATGGGCCTAAGAGTGGGTAAAAGGGTGATGGTTCTCTGACCATAGCCTGTGTACAGGCACAAAAAGAGCTTTTGAAAAATAAGTAGCCCCTGTTAACCGGCCAACTCTTGAGTTTAGGAATGAAACTCACACCTAAAGAATTCTCTTGAAATAGGATTTGGAGCCCTTCAACAGCCACTAGATCATGATTTGAGAGTAATACTTTCCAAGATACCAGTGCCATGAACTGAAGGGATAGTATTTAGAGAGGGATGCTCATTTCAAAGCTTGGTTGTGGCTGAGCAGCCACAGAAATGGGCCACAGAGCAATATGCCTTCCATTTGAATGCCTTTACTCCAGAGTAAATGATAACAAAAAGGAAAAAAAAAAAGGCCATTTGTCCATAAAGGGACAGAGACCATGCTTTCTTTATAATTTCACTATATATACCCCAGTGTTGAAAGGATAGGAGATATCAAGTGCTTTCAAGATTCCTAAGTCTAATACTGGCATTCTAGACAGTAAATACTGCAACAGGCACTCAGAGTAGAGGCAACTACAATGGAGACAAGTCTCCGGAGCAAGCAAATCCTATTTTCCTGCTTTAAAGTTCCTGAGCACTGGGCTTGGTTTTTCATGAAAAGAGAATGTCAGCCATAGAAACTGTCTCCTGCTTAGTAATTCTCTCTGGACTTTCTTCTGAGGATGTGGCTACTTTTATAGTCCATTTCTCCTGAGAAAGACTCACAACCATTGTGTACTTGATGAACTAAATATTTAAAGTGTACATGGGGGGGGGGGTGAGGAAGCTGAATAACCACACAAATAGATAGCTACAGAGATAGATGCATTTCATTCTTTTAATCTCTTTACAAGGTATTTATTACATTTTTTTGTGCTAGGCACTGAAGACACAATGCTGACTAAAACAGTTAAGTCACTTTTCTGTGAAGCAGAAAATGTTATGTTGATGAGACTCCTATCATTAGATGCCTCATAATTTTGTATTATTTCATCATGCCTGGGGGAAAGCTCCATATATGGTGACTTTCTTCAGACTGGAGACACTGGGCATGATTCTCTTCTCCTGTGAAGTTTCTGGTGTCTAAGAAGGCTTGACCGCCTGCTAAAATTTCTCCTGCATATGCTACAAGTATAAGGCTGCTCACCTGTGTGGGTTCTCTGGTGTTTAATAAGGTGGGAATTCTGAATGAATCTTTTTCCACATTCATAACATTTAAAGGGCTTCTCGCCTGTGTGAATTCTTAAGTGTGTGTGTAGATTTGTGTTATGACTGAAGCTTTTCCCACACCATGAACAGCTATATGGTTTTATTCCTTGGTGGGTCATTAAATGCTTATTAAGATCTGAACTCCATCTAAACCTCTTATCACATTGTTGGCATTTATAAGGTTTCTCTTCAGTATGAATTCTCTGGTGCTTAATGAGGTCAGAGCTAACTCTGAAGCTTTTTCCACACTCCTGACATTTAAAAGGTTTTTCTCCTACACTGCCTTTCACATGAAGATCCACACATTTTTGAAGCTCTTGTTTATAAGCTGACGGTTTCCTTCTTCTCTTCCCTGGAAAGGCTTGATGTCGTTTCTGTGCCCTGCATTTACCACCATGATTTTCTTTGCCTGTTGCTTTCTGAGAAACTTTCATTCTGGCCTTTCGTAATACTTTGCATCCTGATGTTTGAATTTCTACTGTAGAAGCAGAGATAGGTTGGTCATTTCCAGTATAATTTCTGAGCTTTAACCCTGTGGAACAAACAAAAGAATCAGACATCTACGTCCAAAATAAGAAAACTACAAGAACCGAGAGAGATTTTAATGACAATTTCTTTTTTAAGAAAAAAATACCAGAATTAATTTCAGGTCCAACATGGCATGAACCCATTTTCTACCTAATTCTCTTATCAAGGCACCACAACAAACCCATTAAATAATGCCAGAGATACTATGGTGATGGCACATGGGTGATCTGGTGATGGGAAACCCAAGGGGATTGCAACTGAGATGGAAAAATGCACAAAATTATGTAAAAATAAACTAATATAATAAAAAAAAAAGGTCAGAGATAACCAATAGAGAAATCTAAGAAGTGGTAAGCAAAGGGCAAGAAGATTTGGGACTATAAGACTAGAAAAGTAACATATTAGTGCATCTTATATCCATATACCCAACAGAGAGTAACCTTAGATGTAGTATTTTCTCTCAGCCTAGCAACAGACGGCTGTCTGGGGAGGCTTACTTCTTCCTCAATCTGAATGGGAAATTTGACAACATTAGAACCCTGGTTAGGAGATAACAGAGATACTCTTGAATATGTACATACTTCCTCCCTTTCAGGTATCACCAACAAGGAAACCTGGGACCCTGCACAGTATTATATAAATCAAGAAGACAAAAATAACACCATATAATGCTGAAAAGTATAACTGGAAGGACACCCCCACAAAAAAACAGTAAAGAACCTATGTGCTAAACTAAAACAAACTGCCCACTAAATTACTTAAATAAGAATCAGAATCTCCTACCACAATAAAAACAGGATACAATAAAGAAAAATCACCCATCATACCAAGAACCAAAAAAACTCACAATTTAAGTGAGAAAAGGCAATCTGACAAAATAGAATAAGGTTAGAAATCAGAAATCAAAAGCAGAAAGACAACAGAATAACTATAAAAAGTATGTGAAAATGAAACAACATATTTTTAAGCAGTCCCTGGTTTAAAGTAAAAGTCTCAAAGTAAACAAACGCATTGCTGAATGGAAATGAGATCATAATATATAAATATATGCGCAATGCAGCTAAAGAAGGGTTCAGAGGAAAAAGGGTTAAGTCTCAAATCAATTATCTAAGTTCCTACCTCAAGAAACTAGGAAAAAAGCAAAATAAAAGTCATTTGAAGACAGTTAACAATAAAGATCTGAGTAGAAATCAAACAAAGTATGTTTTTTTAAAAAATATTTAAGACCACCCTCCCTGGTGGCCAACAGGTTAAAGCACAGTCCTATGAAGCTATCCACAGCCACTGCAGCACAAGTTCAATCCCCAACCAGGGAGAACCAGGGAGGTGACCTACATGGCACAGCAGACGGCTCCTGACCTGCCTGCTCCTCCCTTCAGCAATGTGTTTCAGTGGATCTGCCAGTTCTGTTCTCCACTGTCTCTAATGAATTCTCTCACTCACTACACTTCTGGTCTGTACCCTAGTTCTTGTGTGTATAAGTAAATAAAAAGGGGAGAACACACAAATCATCAGTATCAGGAAGGAAATAGGTATATTACTACACATTCTTCAGCAATTAAGATAATAAGGAAATACTCCAAACAACTTTATGAATTTTACAAGTTAGGAAAAATGGGCAAATTCCCTGAAAACCACAAACTAACAGCTAGCAACCAATATAAAACAGAAAATTTGAATAGTGTTGTGACCATTAAGGAAACTAAATTCATAATTTTAAAGCTTTAAAAAAAATTAAGTCAATATGCTGCTACTGTTTTCTATCAAATATTTTAAAAATTAGAGGAGGAAATGCTACCAACTCATTTTATAAGGTCAAACTACCCCAATAGAGAAGCCACAGAAAGACAGTACTACAAAAGAAACTAGACTAACATCTCTTATATATGTAATGTAAAACTCCTCAACAAAATTCTCATAAGTTGAATGTAATAATATGCAGGAATAATACACCATGATCAAGCAGAATTTACTACAGGTATAAAAGTTGGTTCACTATCTGGTATCAAGCAACCTGCTAAAGAAGTCAGATCATACTCATCTCAACAGGCACAGAAAGTATTTGACAAATTCCACATTCATTCCACATGATAAAAATAGTCAAAAGTCAGGAATTACATTGACTTGATAAAGCATATCAGCAAACCACCCTGAACTAACATCACAGATAATGGTAAAAGATCTAATTTTTCATGATAAAGTTGGGGATAGGCAAGGATGTCTGCTCTCACCACTCTTAACATTATTGTAATTTGGAGCTATTGCAGTAAAAGGCACTGCAGATCATTGTCTACATATAAAATTCCACAGGAATCTCAAAAAAAAAAAAACAACTTAGAACCATTAAGTAGGGTGACAGTAAACAAGATCAAAACACATTCAGTGGCACTCCCATATAAAATAATGAACATGTAGAAACCAAAATTTAAAAATCAACATTGTAAAGAGATGAATACTCCTTAAACTAACACATGGATTCAATGTAATTTCTAGCAAAATTTCTTTTCTATAAAATATTTAATTTATACATACAGAACTGGCATACAGGCCAGAGGTGCGGGGAGTGAGAGTATTCACCAGAGATGGAGTGCGGAGCAGAACAGGCAGATTGACTGAAATCCACTGCTGAGGGGTATAACGGGCAGGACAGGAGAGGTCTGCTGTGCCATGCAGGTCACCTCCCTGGCTGGGTGATGCAGTGGCTGTGATAGCTTCATAGTGCTGGGCTTTTACTAAACCATTGCTCCACCAAGAAGGGCCCTCAACAAAGTTTCTTATATATAAGCTTACTATAAAAGTTATAAGGAAAGGCACAGACTATAAGAATAGCTAAAGTGCAATGCTGTATTGGCAAAGAAGACTAAAATAAAAAGTATCAATCTATCTCATAGAAATTAAGGCTTTATGTACAGCTAATCAAGATGGTACAACACTGGCAGGGGGGAAAGATACACAGCTCCACAGAACAGAACAGATGCACACAAATATGATCAACCTACTTTTTGGACAAAAGTATAAAAGTAATTCAATGGAGAAAGGATACTTTTCAATAAATGTTGCTAAAGCAACTGGCCCTCCATAAGCAACAAAAAAGAACCTTAAGCTAAATTTTACATTTTATATAATAACCTCAAAATGGACCATACACTTAAAATGTAAAAAAATATGAAACTTTTAGGAAAAACATTAAAGATGTAGGGCTAGGGAGAGTTCTCAACTTGACACCAAAACCACAATCTATAAAAGGACAAAATGAAAACTTGTCCTCATCAAAAACTTGTTACTCTATGGTAGCCCATGAGAAGAGTATAAATAGACAATAAAGACTTGGAGAAACTATTTGCAAATCACATATCCAACAAATCACTACAATCTAGAATATGTAAAGAGCTCTCAAAACTCAACAGTTAAAAAATCCACTTAAATAGCTAATCCCAAAAGGTAACACACTTTGATTCTATTCGTATATTTTTGACAAATGCAAAATTTTAGAAATGTAAAACAGACTGGAGGTTAGCATGGTTTGGTAGAGGGGTGGGACGTAACAGAAAGACTAAAAAAAGGACAGTGCCGGGTCACAGGCCTGAGCAATTGGGTAAACTGTGGTGCCCTTTACTAAGCTGGGAAAGATACGGGAATAACAGCTTTGCAGGGTGAGATGGGAATATAACAGATGAAGAATTCCATTTAGAATAAAGATGTGGCACATGTATTTGTGAAAGGCTCTCCAGGTGATTGGGACATGCCTTTCCTTCTCCCCACACTATGAAGTTGAGACTCAGCCAGCTACTGGAACACTGGGACACTCACATAGATGCATTTTCCATAAATTAAGGACCTAAGAGGTTACTCAACTTCTACACAGAGGAAAGGAAGCATCTTTACCTAGAGAGATGACAGTCTCATAGTTTTCATGCATTACTTCATTATAAAGGGTCTTCTGAGTATCATCCAGTAATTTCCACTCTTCCTCGGAAAAAAACACAGCTACATCTTCAAATGTCAACAAACTCTAAAGAAGAAAATGGAGTGTAGTTTAGTACTTGCCACTTCAGAAGCGGTCGTATCACTTATCTCTATTACACAGCAGACCAGTCACTGAAAAAGTGGAGTACGTGATTTTGGGGGGGAAAAGTGAGATGGTAGGAAAGGAAGGAGCCAAAGTGATCTGTAAACAACTTGGGAAGTGCCCAATTCCCATGGTGCCAAGCCTAGCTGCATGGAGACCATCTGGAGCTAACACATCTCAGAGACCCTGTTAGGCACTGTTAGGCAGCAGGAAAAAGAATAGATAAGCCATTTTCAAGCTGCCTGAAAAGGTTGTAAAGTACAGCTCACCTGGAACTCAGGCAGAATGAACTCAGATACCATCTTCCCAGTTTTTGGTGTTTTTCTGCCCAGAAAGGGCTAGAATCTGTTGAGTAGGCAGAGCTGTAGATGGAAAAGAGCCAGAGAAAATTTCTCTTTTCTGTTTATGAATATTCTGAGCTGCTGATTCCTAAAAATGTAGATCAGGACACATCAGTGAAGATGGCTCACCTTTACAACTCTGTGTGGGGGTGTGTGTCCAAGAAGTAGCCATTTCATTGTAATTAAGCAGCAAATAGTCACTACTCTATAGAACAGCTTCCCCAGATGTCATGAGAAAAATTAAATTGTTCACTGAGCTGGGCAAGAATGCCACAGGTCCTCCAGTGTATGGTAGACATGTGGGAAGATTTTCCTTTTTACATGGTACACAGTTCTTTTCCCATTCTGCCACTTGCAACCTCTTTCTGTTCCCTATTTCTCCTGTAAGGGTGAGATGAACCTACCTATCCCTGTTCCATCTTCTTTCAAAGTTTCAAGGAGCAAGGTCCACAGTAGGTGCAAGGATGGTCGGGTTCTAGACTTGAATATTTCTGTACCCAAGACTGACCCTCACCTTCACCCATATTGGCTTGTTTTACTCTCACTTGAGAGAGAGTGTAACAGCTAGCATGACCCAACACCTGGCAAATTTGCACGATCTGTTAAGTGGCCAATTACTATCACAGCTCCCAAGAGAACAGAATTATTATGAAGGTCCTCACCTCTTTCTCATACAGGCTGGGTTTGTTTAAGTATTCCAGCCCAGCTGTTCTTGGAGTACCTGCTTTGTATTCCAACATTCTTTCAATGGGAACACACCTGTTGGCTAGTGTTCTGTTGGCTTCAACTTAAAGCCTGGGACCATTGCTGGCCCTCCCAAGGGCACTGTCTCCTTTCCCAGCTCATGGACAGTAACCAAAAACTAATTTCCATCCTCATTAGCACACAATTACTTTTGGGGTGGTGGTAGAGGGACGACCAAGAGTAAGGCACAAATTCAGGGAATATATGACATTAAGAGAACTAATAAAAATGGAAGTGATATGGCGGTACTATTTTTTCACAAAGAATAAGACACATCATCTGGGCCAATAAGGACAAAATGAAACAAGCTGTTTCCCTGTCAGCCTCTATCCCTTCACAAACAGCCACACCTCAGTCCCCGACAGGGTGGGAGGAGGTTACCTGTTCTTATACTATTTTCAATGGCTTATTTTCTTAACTTGGATCCATGTGTTAATGGTTTTCTATCTTTTGTAGTCACTAAAAAATAAGGACTTGAATAGAAACAGTTTTCCTTTTGGATTTTCCAATCCTTCCATGGTCTGAAGGATTTTATATAATAGAGGGGAAATGGAGGAAGAGTGAGGCTCTACCTTCCCTCCATGTTAATCAGTTCTAATGAGATGCCAAATATATGTTCTACCTTGTATTCTTCAAGGTGGACTGAGGAAAGGAAGTATGCTGACATATCCCAAGGGCATCCTTGGTTCCCTACTCACCAGCAAGGGCCCTGGCAGACTGCTAGGTGAGGGCAATGGAGTCCCTTCCCCTGGTCCAGAGATGTGTACTCCCACTGCAGAGGGCCATGACCCTCGACATACTAATTTGCTCATTCAGTTGTCATTTTTTCTTCTTTCCATGTCCTTGTTTCCCCCTTGTCTTTCCACTGTTTTCCCTTCTAAATCTCCCCCAGAGTTCTCTGATTTATAATTGCTACCTTCTCTCTCCTTTGATTCTCTAAATGTTCTCCATTTTTTCAGTTTTCCCAATTTTTTTTCTTGCCTTTTACTTCTCTGGCTCTAAATTCAAGTCTTCTCTCCTCAGCCATGCCAGACTAGACACACCACTCAATTCATTCTGGTCCTAAAAAGGGCAAAATGCATTTCTTTTTCTAAGGCCAGAAACGGCCAAGAACTCTGAAAGTGCAGGCTACTATCACTCAAAGTCTGTGACTTCAGATCCCCGCTAACTGTCCAAAGCGCATAGAAGAGTGTCACGATCATCTCTTTCCCCAGTTAACTCCACCTCCAACTTAGGTACACATGTAAGGAATCGTGCTTCTCACCTTATCACTTATTCCACCATGTTCTCTCTGAAAGCGTTCTACCAGGGCTACAGCCTCTTTGATGTTTTGTGGATGATACTTCTGCACCCAGTTCTGGGCATCCCTGGGAAGAATGGTCAGGAACTGCTCTAGCACCAGCAGTTCCAAGATCTGTTCTTTCGAGTGGATCTCTGGCCTCAGCCACTGATGGCATAGTTGCTGAAGTTGGCAGACTGCCTCAAATGGTCCAGGTGCCTCATGGTAATAGAATCTCCGGAAGTGATGACGAGCATTTTCAGGACCAACACTGACAACTTGTGGGCTGGATTCCTTATTCTGGCTGGAACTTTCTTCTACGGACTTCTTAATCTCCCACAAAGCTGCCACATGTGGGTACACACATGCATTCACCTTCAGAGGTCTCCTCATCATCTCCTCTAGGAAAAATTTCATTCCCGGGTGTGACATCTTCCTGGTGCCACCTCTAACAACCGAGGGTTTGTCAGGTTTGATGTAAAACCAATGAATGGATCTTCTTCCCAAGGGCACTGAGGGAGAGGAGAAAACAATTACACATCCCCCAAAAATGTACATGACACAATTTACTTGATATTTTTAGTTATCAGAGAAGAATGAACAAGAAAGTTCTGCTTCACTTCCCCTACAAAGTCAATTGCCAAGTATTAAGCTATTCATGACGACAGACAACTTCAGGACATACATTTCTCTCCTTTCTTTGAAACACAGCATAGCAGAAAAGACAGATGGCAACTGGTCACTTTCACTTTTTTTTTAAGGTTGAGGAAAGGGTGGTGGGAGAAAAACTGGCCCACACTTGCTAAAAGGAAATTTGAGATTATCTAGTTCTTAATCTGTTTGCTTCCTAGTTCATCTTCACAAATAGGATATATCTGAGATTCTCTGAATTTTAACATATTCTGCTCTTTTGTCCCTAGTTAGGAGCAAAACAACTAATAAAGACTGACCTTTGCTTCATAAAACATTTCATATATTCCTTTCTAATTGTCTTAACACTGGAAGGAGAACTGAGTTCTCCTCAGTGAGACAGGCAGATCAGATCAGAAAAATAACTTTATTCCTCTTAGAGAATATACATGAAATACTCATCAACATTTGGGTGTGTGTATTTGGGGGGAGGGTATTCTTTTGGGAAAGACTTGTAAAGGGCACCGTGTAGATTTGTACCTGCATATTAAGGTGTGGGCTTGCTTTTTATTGGGAAAAAGCTTAGTCTTGTTCACAAGATACGCAAATGTCAGATAGTCAAAAAGAAAGAAAGGTGATGATTACAGTTTTTCAGACAGGAAGAATCCTCATAGAGGGAGCCCGTCCCTTGCCTTCACATCTTCTTGGGGTCACAGAAATCCAAAAAGCTGGGGATGGCCTTGGGAGTCTTATTTTCCATGAGGGGATCCGGCACACAGGGAGTTCCTGGCTGCCAGTCCGGCTCAGGGGGTTCAGGGGGTTCGGGGACACCTCCTTATACTGAGCAGTCAGCAGGAGCTGCTGTCTTTGCGGCCGAAGCGTCCCCTTCTTCAGCGGTGTCATAAGCCAGAGCAAATGGGTGCAGTGTAGACTTTTCCTGCCCACTCCCCGCACGGACACGCTCACGCCTGCGGGAGGCCTGGGGCGCCGCGCCCAGCTTCCCCGCGCCCCTGCAGCGCGCCCCGGCGCCCGCCGACCGGCCTCGCGCAAGCCAGCACCCGCCGCCTGAGAGAGACCGCGACAGACGGGAAAGGTTGCTTCCCGCCCGCGCCCCTACTCACCGCCGCGCAGCCGCCCCCAAATGGTCGCAAGTGGAGCCGCTACCTCAGGGCGTTTCTGGCCCTGACCCAACAGGAAAGGCAGCTTCTCCGCGGCCACTACGGCCGCGAAGAGGCCACGCTCCTCTAGCCCCGCCACGCGGAGGAGTCGCCACGCCTCCGGAGGGCGCGGAGCGGGGTGCCCTCCCAGCCCCCCAGCGACCTGGGGGCGCTGTCGGGCAGGCGCGACAGAAGGCGGGGAAGCGGCGAGATCCGGTGGCAGAGGCCTCGAGAGACCCGGTCCCCCGCCCCTATACCTCTAGCTCCGGAAGCCGTCCCTTGACTCGCCGTGTTGGGGTGGCGGTTGGAGGATCAGGCGCCAACCGGAAGAGAGAGGAGGCATTTCCGGTGGCCTCGCGACGGAACCCCCTGCCCCTCCCCCACCCTTCTCCCAGGACCCGGCCTGTGGCGTCGGCCCAGCCAGTCAGAAGCCGCCCCCGGGGCCTTCCCATCTTCCCCTTCAGCCTGGGGGGCTAGAGGAGTGAGGGCCCTCTGTCTCCAGGCCTAGAGGACCCCCCGAAAGCGACTCATCACCAGGGAACCCTGTAGCCTCCTGACTCCAGGTGCCGCTCACGGTCTGGTATCCCCCACTTGCTAAGTGTTGCGTGTCGAGATCGTGCCAGCGTCGAGTTCTGTGGCCCCATCGGCCCTTCCCACCGGGTACTTCTCCCATCACCCCTCGGGCCTCACTACGGTAGTCCCCGGCCATCTTGAGTAAGAGGGGGGTGCCGCCCCAGTCAGGCCCCTCGCTCGATGAGCAACAGCGGCCCCTTCGATGTTTTAACCCCCTTTTCTGGTCCACCGGCGAGTCTTCCTGACTAATATCTTTTGTCTTTAGTCTTGTTAGGTAGGTTTTAACCTCGCCATGTAGGTTCTAAGTCGATTGCCCTTTGGCATAGAAAATGAGATGTAGACGGCCATGTTCTCAGGGCCACACAGATTATAGGTAGTCGATTTAAAAAAAAAAAAAAAGGGTTGTATGTCCCCAGAGCTTTTTCTGCGTCTTTACGCTTCCCTGGGAACAGGGACCATGATTCTTCATGCACCTGTAATGCTCAGGCCCGTCCTCTGGATAGTCGTCTTAGAACCTGAGCCTCAGGGGTGATAGTGCCTCCAAACGGTTAGCGTTTATGTAGTGCTGAGCCATCCAGACAGTTTGTCCCTGTGCATCAAAGATGAGGAATCATGTGGGTCCCTCACGGAAGACGGGAAACTGGTCTTTTGGAAGTCAGTGTGAGAAACCACTCAGGCAAGCGGAAGAGGTATCAGTGTGTCTGTGAGGAAAATAAAGAGCATCTGTCTCACTTTTTACATGCAGAGACAGTGGAGGCTCAGAAACAAAGGTCAGTCCTCATTTGAAAAGCGAAGCTGCCTGAAAGTGCTAGAGCATGCAGTGCATTATCTGTGATCTATAAACAGTACAGGCGTTTGGTTCACCAGAGAATCGTTTTTCAGGATGGTTCTTTCAAGGCTTTGTTCCTGAAGTCAGGCATTTTTAACTTAATATTTTATGATAGTGAAGAGGATATCAGTGAACTGTTACTTCTGGGCAGTTCCCAGGCTTACTCAGTGAGGATAGGCAGATTAAGAGGCATTTTCTTTTTTGTTGTTTTGCGTTGTTTTGCAATAGTAAGGTTTTCAAGCTATGTGTAGTTTATATACACATAGTTAATGTGCACAAAATTGACCCTTGTGGTTACCTTCAAGTACTTGTAGATTATATAGTTAACTGGAGTAAATATAGAAATGAGTAGGATTTGCTCTTTGATTTTTTTCTAACATACCATGACTTTTATACTTCAAACAAAAGGTAATTTTTAAAAAAAAGACCACAAGCTCCAAGAAGACAAGTTGGGGTGAAATAAAACAAATAACTACAGCAATTGCAAAAGGCAATATTAAAAAAAAAAACAAAACAGGAACCTGAATATGATCTTGAAGATTTAGAAGACATCTAAACATCTTGATGGATAACATCTTGAGATATATGGAGAATTAGAACCCAACATGGAAGAAGATTGGGTGTGGTTAAGTGGGAATGAAGAAGAAAAAGGTTGCCTTCAAAAAACAAAGCAGGGCTTGCAAAAGGAGTTGTTCAGAAATGAGAAGAGACTGATGAAGATCAACCAACTGCCGAATTTAAATCATCTGCTGTAAGACAGAGTTTATACTATTTCCTTGATTTCGTTGATGCTACAACTGAACTTGAACGGGTTCATTTCATGCTAAAGGAGCTACAACATGTAGTTACAAAAAAGTTCCTAAGCAGATTTCATTTTAAAATTGGTGATTTTTGAAACTGAGGTCTTACAGCATTAGAGTTAATAAACGCAACTTCAACTTCAAATTTTAGTAATTAGAGATTTTCATAATTTTATTGTATTATAACTCACAAATCATACAATTTACTCACTTAAAGTATATTAAAAGTAGTTTTAATGTATTCATACAGTTGTATAACCCACAAGCCAATTGATTGCATAGAGTATTTACATTACCCCCTTCCCCAAAAGAAATACCAGTCCCTTTGTCTGTGACATCTTATTTCCTGTAATCTCCCCACCAACCCAAGTCAACCACTGAACTAATTTCTGTCTCTATATACTTGCCTAGCCTTGATGTTTCATAGAAATGCAATCTTAAACAATATGTGATCTTTTGCTCCTTCCTCCTTTCAGTAAGCCTGATGTTTTTAAGCTCCATACATGTTTTGGCATGTATCTTACTTTATTCTGTTGAACTGCTGAATAATATCCCATGTATGGATATATCACATTTTGTTTACTCATCAATTAGGGATTGCCTATTAATAATACTATCAATATTCATGTACAGATTTTTGCTTTGGCATATATTTTCATTTGTTTGTCATCAGCACCAGAAGTATAACTGCTTTATCATATGGTAACTATATTTAATAGTCTGAAGAATTGCCAGACTCTTTTCCAAAGTAGCTATACCATTTTTACATTTCCACCTGTAGTGTATGAGGGTTCTAATTTCTACGCATCCTCACTGATATTTGTTATGGTCTGTATTTTTTATTATATCCACCAGAGTAGGAGTGATGTGGTATTTTGTTAAGGTTTTGACTTACATTTCCCTGATAGCATATTTTCATTTACCTGCTAGCCATTTACATCTTTTAGAGAAACTTTTACCCTTGATATTATCCAAAGGACCAAGAAGCAAGGAGAGTTGTCTATCCATATCATTTGCCCATTTTAATTAGCCTATTTGTCTTTTATTATTGAGTTTTAATATTTTATATATTCTAGATATAAATCCTTTGTCAGATATAGGATTTGCACATATTTCTCCATTTCCGTGGATTATCTTTTCATATTCTTCTCTTAGCCTCTTTGCTTCTTTGATTTCCTCCTCATCAGGGCCAAAGAGATCAATGGCATCATCACCTTTACTATCTGTAGCTCCACTTCCTATGGTGTCTTCCACATTTAGCAGGGCCATATTTGTCCAAAACTTTCCTCAAAAGGTGTATTTGCTTTTTCCTTTTGGAAAGACTTGATGTTATACCAATGTAGGCCATAGTACAGGTTTGTAAGTGGTGGACGAAGAACTGCTTCAAACACTGCCACATCTGCTTGTGAAGGCACATGCCCTCTGTGTACCTTTCATCTGCTAGGTAATCCTTGAGCACCCGGAGACCTGTGGGACTTTCAGGTCTCCCAAGCTCATGATTGTTGATTCCGGAGTTTGTGGGCAATAGAAGCAGAGGTGCTCCAGTAGTAAGCGTCCAGCCCTGGAGGGAAAAAAGTCTTTTCACTTTTCTTGATGGTGTCATTTCCTGCACAAAAGTTTTTAATTTTTATGATTCCCAGTTTATTTTTCCTTTGGTATTTATACCTTATCTTTTTTTTTAATGCCTAATCCAGGGCCTTCCTGGTGGTGCAGGGGCTGAAGTCTTAGTGCTATCAAGCTACCACCAACCACTGCTGCTTAAGTTCAATCCCCGGTCAGAGAGCTGACCCATGTGGTGCAGCAGACCTCTCCTGTCTCACCTGCTTCTCCCCTCAGCAGTATGTCTCAGTAGATCAGTCTGTTTTGCTCCCCACTCTGTCTCTGGTGATTCCTCTCACCCACCCCCTTGCACTTCTGACGTAGACCCCAGTTCTTTTATGCATAAATAAATTTAAAATTTTTTTTTGAAAATGCCTAATCCTAGGACACAAAGATTTACACCGATGTACTCTTCTAGGAGCTTAATAATGTTAGCCTTTACATTTAGGTCTTTGGTCCATTTTCACTTTATATTTATGTATGGCGTAAGGTCACCCAACCACCTCTTTAATAAGTGATGTTGGGAAAACTGGAATGGAATGCCACATGCAAAAATATTAAACTAGACCACTAGCTTACACATTACACAAAAATCAACTCAAATTGTGTTAATGACTCAAGTGTAATACCTGGAACCATAAGATACATAGAAGAAAACATAGGCAGAATGCTCTAAGACATAAACATCAGTGATATCTTTATAGATTCATCAGAAAGCAAGGCAAACAAAAGAGAATATAAACAATTGGGACTACTACATCAAACTAAAAGGCACAGTGAGACTAACTAAAATGAAGAGACTCTCTGCTGAAAGGGAATAAGTATTTGTACACCATACATCTGACAGGGGACTGATGCCAAAGATCTAAACAGGTACTTCTCCAAAGAAGACACAGATGACCATCAGGCGCATGAAAAAAAAATGCTCATCACATATCATCAGGGAAATGAAAATCAAAATCACCAGACAGCACCTCACACCAGTGAGAAAGGCTCATATATAAAAGAAAAACAAAACAGAAACAGCAAGTGGTGGCTCGGCTGTGGAGAAAAAGGAACCTGCTTACACTGTTGGTGGGAGTGTAGGCTAGTCCAGCCCTTGTGGAAGGCAGTGTGGAACTTTCTCAAAAAACTGAAAATGGATCTGCCATATGACCCAGAAATTCATTTCTAGGCATATATCCAAAAAATACAAAAACACTAATTGGGAAAGAAACCATGTTGATAGCAGCACTGTTTACTATAGCCAAGATATGGGAATAACCTAAATACCAGAAACAGCCGAATGGATCAAGAAGATGTGTGTATACACAATGGAATACTACCTGGCAATCAAAAAAGCTAAATTCATGCCATTCAAAAACTGACCCTTGATCTTCACCTTTCAGAGAGGGTGGGAGGAGGACAGAATGGACCATGGTGCAGAGCTATGGTGCTTTAGTAGTAAGGAGAATCCTATACTAGGCTAAGGTACTTGAATTTTAAAAATTGTTTTTGAACAAGCAG